TTTGACAATAAACAATAAAAGCGCTTTCACGATAACCGACGCTGTGGTATGTGTCACTGGCTGTGTTACCAATACAGCTGAGCGCGCCAATTAGGCTACAGAGAATTACTGACTATTCACTACCACTGTTTGCCTGATGATTACAATGATCTTCCGGGAGGCAGCTGCTGGATGGCTGCTGCCTGCAATGTTCTTGTTTGCGTATTGAAAAGTGTAAAGTTAGACAACTGTTGCCTTCGATACAAAAACCAATCCACGTCTTCTCACCGTATCTGTATGTATACGACCGTATAAATGTGTGTTTGCTATTGAGTGGATGGGTCCAAGGTGGAAATCAGTCGGAGCTGGAACAAGTTAATCGGGCTAACCACCACCCTTCTGGACTACGCTCCAACGGAAAGGCAATACTGTGTAATTCCTTCCCCGCCCCCCATCGAGCTATCTGAGCACTTTCATGTGTCCCATGCATAGTCCCAATAGACAACCTTGAGACCAATTGAAATGGTCAGTATGAGCTCAGTTTCACTAGTAATCCTGAGTTCTCGCCTGTGTGTGAACAGAAGAATTTCAGTGAATTTTAATCTTTCCGGTATTACCAGTCCTTTCAGTCGCACTGGCTTTTTAATTTTTTTGTACGAGTCACAAGTGTTTTCCACTCATTACCGAGTTGTTTCATTTCTTTTTTTTCCGGCACACCTGAACTGATTGGTCTTCATTTCGGTTGCTCATGCGCGAAGCACGTAACCACCTCAGTTATTGTTGTTTTTGTTGTTGTTGTTGTACAATCGAATTCGCATTGTATTACATCTTCCAGAAATGTAACCCTGTCGCTGACCAGTAAATGAATAAAGTTGGCACCTGTTTGATTCCCCGAGTCCGGTTTTTTTCACATTCCAGATGTGTTGTGATTCAAAGGTTTTCGTTAAAAAATAGTAAGCTCACAGCTCACCATGAACATCCCTTGCCCGAGCTGGGCATATATCCCCCCCCACACACACACCAGTCTGAAGTGAATGAGTTCAGGCAACTGTCGAATACAAACGCATTTCTTTTTGATTAAGCACCTCTTACTACCTGTCACAGAATACCGTTCCTAATCAGGCCGGAAATGGGGAGAGTACGATGAGGCATCTTTTCATCCGGGCAAGGATATGCACGATTGACCAGCCCACAAACATGAATGTTCTAATCGAGACCGGTGCTTATGGTTCTCCATTCACACTGCACTGGACGGGTTGCGTCAGTTCGTGTCTGCTACTGCGCTTCTTTCAATTGGTGCCCTCACGCGCTTTTGCTTATTGGTGCCTGTTACGCGTACTATATTTTACACTCAATATGCGTTAACCGTTGACATTCTGTGGCTAATCGTGTGCTCCTTTTTCGTGGTTTTAAAAATCTCAGCGCACAACGCGTTCAGCCCAACTGCTGTTTTGAGCGTCATATGTCATCCGGATGACCCGTGTCCACACGGCACATGTGTGTTGTTTGAACTCAGCCGGGGGCCTGCGCGCGCACGCACACACACAGTGAGTTTTTCCATGGACAAAGTTATCCTGTCCTTTACCATGGGAGCAACAGCAGCAGCCGTTTCCACGCTGCTCGGTTGGTGTGCATGCATTCTTCCCGCAGCTGATCAATTTCACACAGACATCGCAGACTTCGGAATTTTATCACGGTGTTTGACAGAAATTCACGTACACACAAATGAATAAAGTGTGAAAGCATACAACAGAGTGCGACAAATAGAATTACGAGACCTTCGGTTAGTAGAGTCTCTTTCCCTCTCTTCAACGCGCGCGCACACACACACACGTTATGAAAGAGCAGGTATGCAAGTATCTAACACAGACGGGCAGACGAAGAGTTATCCGGAACGTTTTGAATAAACAGTGATTCCAGCCGATCATAGTTTCGCACCACCGGTTAACGTTTCTCTCTTGTGCTCTCTCTCTGTCGGTGGTCATGCAGTGCCTCGACATTTGCGGGAACTCCATGTCTGGTCCGTATGATTAAATAGGTTACACGAACGCTCTCTGTCGTATTCAGAAATTGTTGCAAGTTGCGCGGACTGCGTGTGCAGGATACCTTTGTTGACACA